AAAAAATGAACCAGTTCTGCTTTTGGATCCTGGTCTCTGACTTTATAACTTAGATATGTTTTTTTCTTCTTCATTATGCATTTTTATATAAATACATATACTTATACTCAGGAGCGACTTAAAAATATGGTCATCCTTTATCTTAAGTCTGTCTACATTTCCAAAGCTCAATTCTAGGGCTAAAATCATCCAAATAATTCTAGTACGGAGTGTATGGAGTTTAAAAAACAAAGTGGAGCAAGGTGTTTTCTGTTTGAGAGAAGAGCTCAGTTTAAATATGCAGGATGTGTGTGTTGGGTTGTTTTCACTCTAGATTTTGTTCTGTTTAATTCACTTTTTTTTTCTTTAACCTGTGGTTTGATACACTGTGGGGGTGACAGCAGAGAAGAAACTTTGGAACGACACACAGACAGATCCAGACTCGTCAGACGGACGCGTGAAACAGCAGCTCTGCCATGGCCCATTCCATTCATACAAAAGGGCCCAGTCAAGCAGAAGTAAACATCAAGGCCAAAAATTCAAGTTAATGCATCTGATATAAAAATGTATTGAACAGATACATATGTACTCTAGTTTATGAAACTGTTGACCTTTTTTCTGTACCATTTTTGGTTCTAAAGTTCCATATGTTTTAAACAGATCATGTATGAAACATGGAACAAAAATTATTTCCCAAATTTCAAAGACCCAAAAATCATGTAAATAAATGGATGTATTTCATCATATCTTGTGTTATTCCATCTTTGAGCTGTTGATGAAGGTACATGATTTTTCCCCAAAAAAATGTATTTAAAATGATAAAAATTTGCTTGGAAGGACTGACATGTTTTATAGAAATAGTTTCCTTTCATTTTGAAGTAATATTAAAGTATTCAGAAGAAAAAAGTTGACAAATGATGTAAAATCCTGCACCTTCTACTTGCTTGAACAATTTTCCCTCCGTTACTTTTCCCTCCGTTACCATGACCTTTCTTAATAAAAAATTTCATGACTCAAAAAGTAAGAGGTTTTTCCACCTAATCTTGTACCATATGGTAGAAAACTATATGAAGCCAATATTCAAACCAGTTTGTTAAGGATATGGAAGTGAGATTTATTGCCCAAAAAGTGCTGCATATTTCATTCCCTCCGTTACTGACATGAGTTTTTACATTTTTTGTCAACAACTTGAAAGAATATCACAGGTTTAACTTGACCCTGTTGGAGTGTAACTCTTTCCTACATTCTGATACTTTACTTATTTCAATAGTTCCTCTAGTTTCTGAATAAGAGACATTTGAATGTCAAAAATCTGCCCGTTTCCCTCCGATACCGTTTGACCGGACCCAAATATACATGTGTGTGACGCCTTGTACAGAGCCATTACTTTTTGTTCACCTTCACTGCATTTGTAAAATCTCTAAAAGCCTCTAAAAAGTTAATTTGGCAGAACATGTGGACATTACTTTTTCCCTGTGATGTGTACAAGCTCGTGCTCTCCCCACATCTATCAAACCGTCTTCATTTGGTTCACCTCAGCGCCTCCTCCTCTTCCTCCTCCTCCTCTTCCTCCTGCTGCTGCTGCACATGACTGGATCTATCTGGAGCCATTTGGACAAAACCTCAGGAGAAATCAGGGCCTGCTGCTGGCGCTGCACCTGGAGTACACAGCGGGCGCACCGTGTCATTCATCTTAAACCACAGATTGACAGTATCCATTGCGTTTGTGCATTCATATATTCTGTTTGGTCATATAGGCAATATGCACCCCTATTATTTTCAAGATGGGATGACACGCTGGACCGACAGAGCGGCTCTCAAATGACGACCCTCATATCAATGCAAATGCTTAATACCTGCAGTGGTTTGCTACAAGTGAGAATGAATAGAACATGAAAAATGCAAGAAATTCCACAATAGCTGCCCACAACCGAGCTGGAGACGTGACTGTCCCTGTAAGACGGTGACACATTAATGAAAGTATATTTCATAATGCACAGACTCGATAGGGCTTCTGGATTATTGGAAAACCTTGCAGATAAAACACGTATCCCAGCCCAAACCAGTCCAAAGATCAACATCTAAAGTTCATTTGAATTAAAGATACTCTATGTAATGCTGCCTTCGTTTATCCATCCGTCTTCCACTCGGATCTCAGATATAACGTCACTTCTGCGCCTCAACCGTTTTATCATTTTTCCTGTGTTCGAATCGGAGAAAAATGTGGACACTATCCAGAAAGCTGTTGTTGCTTTAGTACAAAGCTTTAACCACACAACATTAAAAGAACAATTCAGTATAAATAGTATAATTCAGTATTAGTGAAGTGAAAGCGTTGGTGTCGTGTGATAGTCGAACATTTTGGATTGTTAGTAACAGGAAATGGGCTAAAAACATGGAAAACACCAACTACCAAACCCACAGGCAGTGATACAGACACAGTAAAGTATTTCAGTAAAATGAGTGACTGAAATTGTCATTTAAACCTGTGGTCCCCAACCGTTTTTTCACCACAGCCTGCTTTTGTATCAGACAATATTTCACGGACCGGAGGGGGTTGGGGGGCATGGTTAAGTCCTGGCTAAATCCTGTTTTAGTCCTGTTTTAGTTCTGGTTTTAGACCTATTTTAAACCTGGTTTAGTCCAAGTTTAGACCTGGTTTAGTTCTGGTTTAGTGGCACAGTCCGGGGTGGGTAGACGGTCTGCGCGGCGTATGGAAGGGGGTTACGTGCTTTCGCGGCCCAGTACCAAATGACCCATGGCCTGGTACCAGTATCCGGCCCGGGGGTTGGGGACCCCTGATTTAAACCACTAAAGGGTCCAAACACAATGAAAACAGTTCATTTGTCACTGGGCACAGCCAGCATGGATTCTGTTTCGGAAACCTTGCTCGATCTCCTCCAAGTTCTTCCAAGTTCCAAATTCCGCCGTCTAAGGAAAAAGTAACGTCCTTGGACCTCTGAGTCGGATGGATAAACGAACGCACCATAACTTTTCTGGTGAGGATCCATGGAGATGTTATTGCTTGAATCTTCCAGGCTGTAAAATAAACTTTTATTACAATGCGCCATCAGGAATTGCAGGAAATGCACCAGACCGAGTTATAGTCCACTGACAGTAATGCATGTTTTTCAGTAATAATAAGTGTTAGTTTATTTATTTATTTTATTATTTAATGCGATAGGAACAGTGCACAATCTACATGAACATGAAAAGGAGAGATGCATGTACCAAGTTGTAGCACTAATTCTCATTTAAGATAAGATAAGATAAGATAATCCTTTATTGTCTCCCATGGGAGAAATTTGTCTTGGGACAGGGTAAAACATGCTTTATCAAAAAACAGGACAACACAACACAAAACAAGACATAAACAAACACCATAGAACAAAATATATATGAGACCAAGTCTGACCGCGAGTGATGCACCAACAGGACCTTTAAATTATTCTTAACAGGCAAACCCTTTGCATTTTGTATTCTATTAATAACTACACAATCCCTAAGCCTTTTATAATTATTTTTTAACTGCACTATCTGAGTTTAGTAGATTAACAGCGAGTGGCACAAAAGAATGTTTGAATCTGTTCAGTTTACAGTTTGGGACCTGAACCTTCTGCCTGATGCCGTCAACTCAAACTGACTGTGAAGAACATGGGCAGTGTTGGGAAGGTGACTTTTAAAATGTACAAATCTACAGATTACAGATTACACACACCAAAATGTAGTTTGTAACATAATCCATTAAATTATTTAAAGTGAGTAATGTAATCTGAATACTTTGGATTACTTGATTTGCTGTAGAGAAGCAAAGACTCGGAAATCTTCACTTAAGATGTTTTGTCTGCTGAAAGAAAATGAAAAGCCCAGACTTTACTGAACCAAATTAAAAATATTGTTGACAGAAGACGAGGAAACACGTCCACACAGCATGGTTTAGTCCTGTTAAATCCTGTTTTAGTCCTGGTTTAGACCTGTTTTAGACATGGTTTAGATCTAGTTTAGATCTAGTTTAGACCTGGCTTAGATCTAGTTTAGACCTGGTTTTAGTCCTGATTTAGTCCTGTTTACCTGGTTTTAGTTTAGACCTGGTTCTAGTTTAGACCTGGTTTTAGTCCTGATTTAGTCCTGGTTTAGTCCTGGTTTAGACCTGGTTTAGACCTGGTTTTAGACCTGGTTTAGACCTGGTTTAGACCTGGTTTTAGACCTGGTTTAGACCTGGTTTAGACCTGGTTTTAGACCTGGTTTAGACCTGGTTTTAGACCCGTTTCAGACCCGGTTTAGATCTAGTTTAGATCTAGTTTAGACCCGGTTTTAGTCCTGGTTTAGTCCTGGTTAAGATCTTTATTTCAACAAAGTAACTGTAATCCTGATTACGTAACTCTGGTACATGTAATCTGTTACTCCCCAACACTGAACATGGGTTGGGTCATTGATCACCTTCCCGTCGAGCTTCCTAACAGTCTCCTCAAAAATGACCTGAAGTGAGCTTTGGGCCACACCCATTATTCTACCCGCTCTTTTAGTCAAGTCATTTAGTCATTTCCACCTGTCGTCCCTGGACAGGTTCATTGTTTGATTGGATTTAATTGACCTTAACTATGAGCTTTCAGCTGTTCTTTCTGGAGACCTGTGTAGCATGTTTTGAGTTTTATACAAAAATACAAGTTACATACATATCACAGACTTGTGCTGATCAACTTAACGTGTGTTTGAGGAGAGCTAAGACAACAACAAAAAATTGAGAGAAATCTTTCCAATATAAATTTCCATCATAGTTTCATGCTTCGACTGTTGATTCTGTAAAAGTGTTGTTGAGAAAATATGAATTATGCATTTCTTATTTGTTATAGTATTCAAGTAAATGACATTTTGTGGGCTGAATAAATCCATTATCAGAACTAAGTATCATTTTAAAGACGCAAGAGCTGCGTCAAGAGAAAAGCCACAAGTGATGAAGAGATAAACTGTAAACAAACTGTTCAAAACAGGAAACCGTCTGAGAGCACAGACCGAGTCCACACGCAGCGGTACTGGTCCAGGTCCAGATCCAGACCTGGTCATGGCCCACGCATTCATCCAGGTGTTTTTGTCCCTCTGCAGCTTCGGTAAGAAACGTTTATTCATTTATTTATTGCTGTAAACTGGTTTCAACATGACAGTTTTGTAAATGCATTATTAACAAAATGTATATTGATCCAAAGCAGATCATGTTATTGTTTTAATATTTTTTCTACTGTTTATGTACATCTGTTAAAGTCACAGACTGTACTAGGAGTTCACCAAAAAAGGAAAAATCATGTTTATTTCATTTATTTTTTTCATTTTCATTGTGTTTATTGCTCTGAAAAACACAATCCTGACTCTTTTTTAGCCTGGAGGATGCCCTACTTGTTTCCATGTCAATATTTTTCCTTTACCTGTAACATGCATGTCCAAACTATGGTCCGTGGGCCAAATGTGGCCCTCAGATGAATTTTCCTCGGCCCTCAGGCTTCCTGTGAATTGGCCTAAATTAAATGGCATCAAATATGAATAATGAACTTTTTACTGCAAGTTTTTTGAAAATTGACTTTGATAAAGCTTTAATATTTAGTGTGTATATGTAAATATGTATTAGAGCTGCCGCCGGCTACAGACAGACTATAGCGACATTATTTATTTATTTGTGAATTTGAGTTTGACGCTGCTGGTCTAACGTGTTAAACCTGCACATATTTCAACTATTCACTGTTTTGAGCTCCAGTCTCGATCTGCTTCGTCTGTGTTTACATATGTGTAAAGTTTGGACACCCTTGAACTATAATTTCCCACACGGCATGAAGCTTCAGTCTAGAACAGGGGTCATCGAACTAAGGACCTCGGGCTCAGACTCGGGCCCCCAGCCCGGCTGAACTGGCCCTATGAGGCGATTCTCAAAAGTTGTCATGGCCTGTTGATTTAAATGACTTTGAGGCAAATAATAACACGTCTGCATCTTGTATTTTGTTGATTTTTTCCATTTAAAAAAATATATTTGTATTAAGTATTTATATTTAAATAATTATATGATGTATTTACATTTGCTGCTGAATTTGCCACAAAATTTTCGTCACCTATGCCCACACATACTATTGATTTTGATTCCCGTTATTCTGTTGTTGCTTTAGTTTTGACCTGTAAATGGTCGCCTGCTCATTTCATTTTCACCTTAACCTAGATAATGCTCACCTGCATAGATATGTAAGTAAGTAAGTAAATCTTTAATTATATAGCACCTTTCACAGATAAAAAAAAAATCACAAAGTGCTTTACAGAGCAAAACAGCATAAAAACAACATAAACAAGAACAGAGGACACAGTCAACTAAAAGCCTGTCTAAAGAGCAGTGTCTTGAGCTGCTTTTTAAAAGAGTCTATAGAGTCTGCCTCACGTAGAGCTTGGGGCAGGGTGTTCCATAATTTGGGAGCCACAGCCTGAAAGCAAACGTCACCCCGAGTTTTAAATCGGGTCTTTGGGACCATCAAGAAGCCCTGACCTGAGGACCGGAGGGCGCGGCCTGAGGAGTAGGGGCGCAGTAAGTCACTGATGTACTGGGGCACTTGTCCATTTAAAGCTCTATAAGATAAAAACAAAATTTAAAAATCAACACGGAGCTTAACAGGAGCCAGTGCAGTGAAGATAAAACAGGTGTAATGTGAGTTTGTCTGTTTGCTCCTGTTAAAAACCTTGCAGCTGCATTCTGTACAAGTTGCAGCCGCTTAAACGTAGAAGCATTAAAACAAGTAAAAAGAGAATTACAATAATCTAAATGAGATGAAATAAAAGAGTGAACAATCATTTCAAGATTAGTACACAGACACTGTGGGCAAGGTCCAAGGACACTGAGGGAGCTGGAATCACACCAGCCAACCTGTGGGTCAGTGGATCTGACCGCTCAACCTGTGATGTTTATGTCGAGAGCTGGAATCAAACTGCCAACCTTCAGATCAGTGGGCGAATGCTCTACTGCAACCCCGATTAAGTTGTAAGAAGTTTGCAGAAAGCCAATTTTTTATACAAAAGAAGCACTGCAGGAGGGTTTTCAGTCTGTCCATTTCTGTTTCTTTAAAAGAACAATACAACTGTAAATCATCCGCAGACAAATGATAAGAAACATTCTTGAAACATAAACTGTAGCGGGGAAGTTGATCTATTGTTCACATTATAATTTCAATTTTTTATGTATTTATTTGATAGGCCTATTTATTTGACTTTTATTAAGTGCTGCACATAATTATTATTAATACAACTGTTATTAATATTATTATTGTTAATATCAACAGGCCTACCTACAATTTGTAATTTTTCACCCTCTGCCAGTGTCACCAGATGTTCCTGACCTTGATATTTTATATAAGAAAATAAATAAATGGAATATCTGTGGTATTTCAAATTAAACAAAGTGTGAAGTACTTAACAAATATGTGCCAGGGATTATGTGTTGCGTAATTTCTACTCCACGCTGAGGCCTGCAGGTGTTTTTTTTTGGTCTGGGTCGTACAGTTCTGTTATACGTTTGGTGACCCCGGCTCTAGAAGTATGGTTTTAATATTCTGTTTCCATGGAGACATGCAGAAACTTACATACTTTATCTTTAACTCAGAGAAATGTCAAATCCAACAGTATGACAGGACACTTTTAAATGTGGCTAACGTTATATTTTGTGACATTAATAAAACACTTGTTGGTGTGTTGTGTGCAGGGCTGCTGTCTGCAAACGTCACTTCAACAGGTAAATGCACAAACACACAAATAATGTTTAAACTGATCTGGTTTCATGAAATACTGCGGCTCTTTTAAATATATATGAATAAACAAAGAAATGAAATAGTGGAACAGTGTGTTGAAAATAAATCTAAAGCATTTTTGTACATTTGTTTTTCTGATATAAATTTATTGGGGTGCCACCAGTGTTGGGAAGGTGACTTTTAAAATGGATTCCCCTACAGATTACAGATTACATACCCCAAAATGTAGTTTGTAACGTAATCCATTAAATGACTTAAAGTGAGTAACGTAATCTGAATACTTTGGATTACTTGATTTGCTGTAGAGAAGCAAAGACTCTGATTTCTTCACATAAGAAGTTTTGTCTGCTAAAAAAAAAATAAAGCTCAGACTTTCCTATTGATAGAAGAGGAGGAGACACAATCCATGTGGAATGGTTTCAGCCTGTTAAATCCTATTTTAGTCCTGTCTTAGATCTGCTTTAGACCTGGTTTTAGCCCCAGTTTAGATCTAGTTTAGACCTGGTTTAATCCTGGTTTAGACCTGGTTTAGACCTGGTTTTAGTCCTGATTTAGACCTGGTTTTAGTCCTGATTTAGACCTGGTTTTAGTCCTGGTTTAGACCTGGGTTCAGTCCTGGTTCAATCCTGATTTAGACCTGGTTTAGACTTGGTTTTAGTCCTGGTTTAGTGTCCCACTCATTGAAACAGTAACTGTAACTGAATACAGTTACTCATAATTTGTACTCTGATTACGTAACTCCAGTACATGTAATCTGTTACTCCCCAACACTGGGTGCCACACATATTTTTTTTTTTGTAAATAGCACTAATATATGTGTAGACCATTTAAAATGTGTAAACAAAAACATTTCAATTCCAGATGGAGGCAAAAGTGAAGTGAACATAATGTGATTTTAATCTGGAAACTAGGATTAACATCAGAAAACACATCACATTTTTATATTTTCTCCTCATTGCACCGGCTCCCCTTTCATTTCAGAGTTAAAACTCAAAAAAATTCAGCAGAATTTTGGACTAACTGTAAACAAAATTAATAAACACTGTACATGTGTTGCAAGAATTATCAAGCTTGAAAAAAAAAGCTTGGTAATAATAAGAGTAATAATAACAAAACAAGAAAAAAAATCTGACCTAAATGAGGCAACAAACACTTTTCCAGTTTTCCAATAATTGTCAAATTTGTCAATGTCAGTTTTTCCATTACGTAAATAGTGCGGACAACATTCATCCAATCCTCAGGGCAAAGAACTTTATCACTAAGCCACAAGTATATTCTAAACAGTGTTGGGGAGTAACAGATTACATGTACCGGCGTTACGTAATCAGAGTACAATTTATGAGTAACTGTATTCAGTTACAGTTACTGTTTCCATGAGAGGTAATTGGATTACAGTTACTTTGTTGAAATAAATGGATTACACGGTGGTATATTCCTGTTTTCACATTTGGGGCTTTATCCCTTTTTTTTTTGTTTGTTAATTCCACTCATTGCCGGACACTAAACCAGGACTAAATCAGGGTTGAACCAGGACTGAACCCAGGTCTAAACCAGGATTAAAACCAGGGCTAAACTAGATCTAAACTGGGGCTAAAACCAGGTCTAAAGCAGGTCTAAATCCGGACTAAACCAGGACTAAACCAGGTCTAAACCAGGACTAAACCAGGTTTAAACCAGGTCTAAACTAGATCTAAACCAGGACTAACACAGGACTAAAACAGGATTTAACAGGACTAAACCATGGCGTGTGGACCGTGTTTCCTCCTTTTCTATCAATAATATTTTTAAACGGTTCAGTAAAGTCTGGGCTTTTTATTTTCTTTTAGCAGACAAAACATCTTATGTGAAGATTTCCGAGTCTTTGCTTCTCTACAGAAAACCAAGTAATCCAAAGTATTCAGATTACATTACTCACTTTAAGTAATTTAATGGATTAAGTTACAAACTACATTTTGGGGTGTGTAATCTGTAATCTGTAGGGGAAAACATTTTAAAAGTCACCTTCCCAACACTGATTTTATGAATATATATTTTTCTCACGTTCTATAAGATGAGCAGACCTGATCCCAAAGAACAGTCTTTCCAAATTAAAGTAACAGAGAGATTGTTTTCAATACTGCTCCTAACCTGGGACCAGAACTGTGAAACTGGGCATTCCCAAAGTATATGAAAATGTTGGGCGCTCCCTGTCCCAAACTTTCTCCAGCAAGCGGTACCCTCCCCACAGCAGCGCCCTGTGAAGGCCCCCGACAAAAGCGTATCACATTCTTCCAAACAAATTCTCTCCAGTTGGTGGATTCTGTGCACTTCACATTATTCTGCAAAACATCTTCCCATTCTTCTAATCACAACGTAAACCCTGCTTCTTCTTCTTCTTTCCCATTTTCCCTTTATATTTTTAACCTCACTGACCTCACTGCTCTGGAGCTCAGTACAGAGTTTAGAAATAACTTTTGATCTTAGTTCATCTCCAAGTGCTTTTAAAGAGATATTGGTAACATTTTGTAATAACTACACCTTATTTAGCCTTAATAAAGCATGAACAAAGACTTAATTAATAATGATTCACACTTAGTAACTACTTAATTACTACCTGAATTAACACTTAACTTGCACTTAATTCACCTGTGCTGTAAATAGTTACTCATAAGTGTTTCTTTCTTAATTACTCATGAACTAACCATTTGTGTGTTTACAAATGCATATTTAAGTTCACATTTGAGCATTTATTAAGGATTAGTAAGTTATGAGAGAATGATTTAGTAATAATGCAATGATCATTCAGGCAGCTGTTTTCTGTTAGTTAAGTCTTTCTGAGAGCTTTTCTAAAGTGAAGACTAATTGTCTTTTATTAAACATTTGTTAAGGTTGGTCAAATTCCAGAGAAACAATAATGCATTACTAGTAAATCATTCTCTCATGGCTTATTAATCATTAATAAATGCTCAAATGTTTACTTAAATATACATTTACAAATGCACACACAAATGGTTAGTTCATGAGTAATTAAGTAAGAAATACTTTTGAGTAACTACAGCACAGACAACTTAAGTGCAAGTTAAGTGCTAATTCAGGTAGTAATTAAGCGTGAATCATTATTAATTAAGTCTTTGTTCATGCTTTATTAAGGCTAAATAAGGTGTAGTTATTATAAAGTGTTACCGAGATATTACATATATAGAAAAGATTTTTTTCTTGCTCTGAATCACCGTAAACAGCACCCAAAAAAACGACAAGAACTAGTCCAGCTAGAATTGCAAAAACACAAATGCCACATGTGTGAAGTATTTTTCAGTGTCTGAACAGATGAGTTCAGGGTCAGTGTTTTGTTTCCCCAGAGCCGTTTAACCTTCGCTTGGTGGGAGGATTCAGCCTCTGTCAGGGAGAACTGGAGCTTCAAATGTCTTCTCTAAAATGGACAGCAGTGAAGCCACACAACTTTAACCTGCAGTTTGCAAACAGAGTGTGTGCCCAGCTAGACTGTGGCACTGCTCTGTCTGTTCAGATGAAAACAGGTTCAGTAAAAGAAGTAGCCCAACTCTTACCTGACTGTGTGGAGAGTTCTTTGAGACGGTGTTTCAGGAGTGATACTGTTTCCTCTGAGTACAGTCTGGAGCTGCACTGTTCAGGTAAAAACTCAAACACACACACACACACACACACACACACAGCACTGTTGGAGACTGGACATCTGTGTAACTCCGACTGATACTTTGCAGTGATCTCAAGCTGGGGGTGTTCTACACATTACACCATTACAGACAGTGTTGGGAGTGTTACTTTTAAAATGTATTCCCCTACAGATTACAGATTACATACCCCAAAATGTAGTTTGTAATGTAATCCATTAAATTACTTGAAGTGAGTAACGTAATCTGAATACTTTGGATTACTTGATGTACAGTAGAGAAGCAAAGACTAAGATATTTTAACGTAAGATGTTTTGTCTGTTAAAAGACAATGAAAAGGTCGAGTCTTTAAACATATTATTGATAGAAGAGGAGGAGACACGGTCCACGCAGCATGATTTAGTCCTGTTAGATCCTGTTTTAGACCTGGTTTAGTCCTGCTTTAGACCTGGTTTAGACCTGGTTTAGTGTCTGGCAATGAGTGGAATTTCTGAGAAAAAAAATATATAGCCCCAAAATGTGAAAACAGGAAAATACTGCCATGTAATCCATTAATTTCAACAAAGTAACTGTAATCCAATTACCTCTCATTGAAACAGTAACTGTAACTGAATACAGTTACTCATAGTTTGTACTCTGATTACGTAACGCCAGTACATGTAATCTGTTACTCCCCAACACTGACTACAGATGCATGTAGCAGTTACCATGGTGACACAATGCACACATTAGCAAACATAGAATATATTTTTTTTTTAAACTTAAGAGGGATTTTGTTTTATTTTACAATGAAGTTTCACAAATTAAACACATTTAAGATCAAATTCAACTATATGCTCTAATGAATGAAGAACTGCAATACAAAAGCAAAGACTTCTTAAATCATTACTTTAGCCACAATTTGCAAACAAGAAACATTTCTCGTTACACAAGTCTCTGTCACAACAACACAGGGTTTAAATGAATCAGCAAATGTGATCAGATTATGCACGTGTGTTATTGTTGTCGTTGTAACATGTGTGTTGCACCGGCTGCTGTCTCTGAGTTTCTGAGATCATGTGATGTGTTGCGTTGGTTCTGAGCTGATGTCACAGACCTGTGTGTGTTCACAGAGTCGGTGCGGCTGGTCTCTGGGCCCAGTCTGTGCTCAGGATCACTGCAGATCCACCAGAACCAGTCCTGGACCCGGGTCTGTGAAGAGGCCTTGACCCAGCGGGGGGCAGAGGTGGTGTGCAGGGAGCTGGGCTGTGGGGCTCCTTCTCTCTCCCAGGGGGGTTTCTCTGTAGAAGGACAGGTTCTTCTGGGGCAGATGTTCTACTGTGAGGGTCATGAGTCTTCTCTGATGGACTGTCCCAGCTCCAGCTCAGACACCTGCTCCTCAGGGCGAGCCGTGAACCTCACCTGCTCAGGTAACAGAACAGAAAAGTGATCCATCAAATCAGTTTCATCCCCATTTACAGATCAGATAAAATACATTTTAAAGGGGTTTATTTAAAAAATATTATTTAGCACCGGATCACAACTGTATGGTAGGTGCTGTATGGTAATACTTGCTCAATTCATGCGTTAAGGTCAAAATGCTGTGGTTTCTCTCACACGGTTCCTTGTGTTACTTCGTATTTTTATTTATTTTTTTATTTATTCAATGTTTTACCAGGTAAGTCAGTTGAGAACACCTTCTCATTTACAATGACGACCTGACCAAGAGGCAGAATAAAACAGATGTACAAACAGAAAACACTCACACATCGATCATAACATGAAACAGTGAATAGAGATATAAGAGAGTGAAACAATTACAGATTAAAGATATAAAAGTGCAAAACAAGTAAAAGTGCAATGATCCTGTAAAATACTCTAGATGGAGTTTTTAAAAGTCGACAGAGGTAAAAACAAACAAAGTTTTAAAGTCTGTTGAAGGTGGTTCCAGTCACTTGCTGCAGAAAATTAAATAAGGAACGGCCCAAAGCTGAACGGCTTTAGGAACAACCAGGGTTATGTATCTGTTAGAGCGCAGTGTGAGTCTGGAGCTGCGGATGTGCAGGAGTGAGCTGAGGTAGGACAGAGTTTTACCAATTAAACATTTATAAATGAAAAGTAACCAGTGTGTTTGTGTGCGCGGGTGTGGAGAGAGACACTTAAAGTGTTGGCCTTGCAGCAGGGAGATTGATACAAACCACTGGTCCACATAGTGACCTGTCCAGTTAACAAAGAAAAGCACCTTGGAGGTAAAACTATGGGTCTAGGGCCCTGAGTAATATATAAATGTGACTTTTTTCAGAGAAAATATGACTATGATAATAGATTCAACATAAAAAATTGACTAAAAATAAGAAGAATATATCAGAATTGAATTCCTTGTATCAAACAAAGTAGAAAAATTATATTATACAACAATTTAAGACTGAAGGAAAGCAGAGATATAACCTTTTCTCCTTTCTGCAGGGGCCATTTTGGATTTTATGTATACCAGCCACTAGGGGGCGCACCCCAACTTGTATCCATGGATTTTTGAAAACCTTAGGCCCAAACCCTGCCAAAAATCTAAAACTTTTCCAGAAGTGTACGATTTTCATGAATTCCCCCCTGACTATAAAGCTCTCAAGAATCAATTTTGTTTAAAGGGACAGTTCACAATTTTGGACATAGAGCCTCATTTCCTAGTTATACAGTGTTGGAGACGTGTGGAGACACTTAAAAAAAATTCCATCCAGTCTTTGTATTTGAAGAGGTCACTGGTGCTATAGTGGCTATAGTTATCCATGTCACTAAAAACACTCCACAAAACACCCGAAGCAAAACAATTATTACACCAAACTGTTGATGTAAATGTCTGTGTGGACAGAATAATGTTTGAAGTAAAACTGACCTTGCATCGCATGTATCGTGGCATGTTGAGGGACTATTTTCTCATATATCAGTCCGCCGCTGCCGAGCTTTCTGTCAGGAAGTACAACTCGCTGCTGCTCCTCGGACATAAATCCTTCAAATGCAAGGTCAGTTTTACATCTAAAATTATTCTATCAACACAGACATTCACATCGACAGTCTGGTGTAATAACTGTTTTGCCTCAGGTGCTTTGTGGAGTGGGTAAGACTGTTTTTGTCCATTGACATGCACTAGTCTAACACCAGCGACCTCTGCAAATACAAGGACTGGATGGAATATTTTAAAAAGTGTCTCCGCACATCTCCAACACTCTGGCTCACTAGGAAATTAGGTCCTATGTTCAAAATTCTGAACTGTCCCCTTAATACAGTACCTTGTAATTGTTGCTTTTCCCCTTTCTGGCTTCTGCTGCAAACGTGTAGCTGCTATGAAATGCCCCTGTAAGAAGCACATGTTAGCTGGCCACCTTCTGTGCTCATCTTCACTTGATTGTTGTTGTTGCAGACCCGGACCATGTCAAACTAGGAAGGCGTTGTGATGGATTGATTTCAGTTAAACACCAGGGCGAATGGAGAAATGTGGACATGACGGAGTGGAACCTGGAAACAGCAGCTTCACTGTGCCACCGATCTAACTGTGGGACTGTGACTTCATTCGGTGAGGCCCTTCCTTCACTTATGCCTTCTTGGCAACTCAGCTCGTCCTGTGTCTGCTCCACATCTTCCCTGAGAGAGTGTGTGACTGTACATCATATAAATGTAGATTACATCTGGCCACTTGTCTGTTCAGGTAAGTCTGCAACCAGTGCACATCTAAGAGCCTGTTTACACTAAAAACAACAAAATATTTGATCAGAATTGCCTTTTCGTTCGTGACAGCCTTTTTGGGGCTTAAAAACACAAAAATATGAAACCACCCTCCAGAGTGGAAAAGCTGAATATGCTCCTCCGTAGCGTTTCCTTCTACACTTCCCAAGATGCAAAACTCTGGTCAGATCTGCTCAAGTCGAGTACACGTTTACATCACATATGCTGTGTGATAATGTATTACAGCACCATCGAGCCGCCTGGCATCCATACCCAATCAAATTCCACATACTTTTGTGTCACTGTATGCACACAGATTTCCTCACAAAAATGCTTGTCTAAATGCGGAATAAAAAGTGAAGACGCGACAACACTTCTCAGACAGTCATCATATAAACGTAGCCTGAGAGTTCTTTTACGTTTTACAGAAACAAAATTTAAAACCACGTGGCTAATTTGCATAAACTAAGCGCTCAAAAAAACAGCTAGCTCCTTGTGCCTCGACGCGGTCAGCTTCTGACGGTCTTAAAAAGGACACGACTATAAGTGTTCTTTTTGTGACAGGGGTGTTCTGCTAATGGTGAGTCTGTTCTGTGCCAGTAGTTGTAGCTACGCTGTTTTCCGATTGTCTATGGTTTGTTTAAACTGTTTTCCTCAATAGCATCACATGATGTCACAAACCCAGCCAATCAGGAAGGCACAAGTCACAGAGATGTGGTCCAATAAGGACACAGATCGTTCCGTCTCTGGAGCCATTTTCCATCAGATTAGTGTGAACGAACACTGCATCCACACTTAAAAGAACTCAAATACACACTAGTGTGGATGGGGCCTAAGAGTTTAGCATCTGAGCAAAAGAACTGCTCCTCCTGCTCTGTACACGCACAGGTCTGCATAATGATGTGATCTACTCCCCCTGAGTTGAATTTTAAACCTGGCATGATGAGAATACAATAGAAAACTTTTAACATTAACACAACCAACACTGAGTCAGTCTACACCATCCTGTGTTCACAGAGTCGGTGCGGCTGGTCTCTGGGCCCAGTCTGTGCTCAGGATCACTGCAGATCCGCATGGACGAGTCCTGGACCTGGGTCTGTGAAGGGGCCTTGAACCAGCTGGGAGCAGAGGTGGTGTGCAGGGAGCTGGGCTGTGGGGCTCCTGGAGAGGGCCAGGTTCTTTTGGGGCCGGTGTTCCAATGTGAGGGCCATGAGTCTACTCTGAAGGACTGTCCCAGGTTCAGCTCAGACATCTGCTCCTCAGAAACATCTGTGATTCTCACCTGCTCAGGTAACAGGGGCATTAGAAACAGTGGTGGAGAGATGAAGGTGCAAGGGTGGTCAGAGTTGGTCTGTGTTTCCCCTAACCACAGTTATTGTGCCGACCTCTGGACATTTCCTTTTGTGCTTTTATCACATTCCTCATAAGCCTGTTTCACTCTGACTTCTTTCAGAGCCAATCAGGTTGGTGGGGGATGCCAGTCGTTGTGCTGGAGTTGTAGAGGCGAGACACAAGGGATGGTGGCATCCAATCTTAATCACTAAAGAATGGGACCTGCTGCAGATGGTGTGTCGAGACCTGCACTGTGGCTCAGCTGTTTCTGGAAAAGTGATAGAGAGAAGAAAAGTTATTTGGGATGTGTCACATGATTGTGTGAAGAAAGCTCCAATAAGCGACTGTCTTCGGAGTGCAACCAACATAGGCTCACGCACGGTGCAGGAGGCTGTGTGTTCAGGTAAGAGCAAAAGTCTGAAATAGGTTTTATTTCATTCCAATTATTTCAAATTGTATTTACACCTGTTTGTACACACCTTCTGATTCGATGCTTTGTTGTTGTTTTTTTTCTCTTTGTTTACTACTTCCTACATTTCAACAAAAGCTATATGGAATTATATAGCAAAGAAACAAAAACACAGTTAAATATTTTATAATAAAATCCTCAAAGTATCCACCTTTTGCTTTGTTAACAGCATCTTGGCCTTTTCTCAGTCAGCTTCTTGATGAAGTCTCCTGAAAAGTCTTTCACTTCACATCTGTGCCGTGTCAGGGAATACCAAGAGTGCAAACGAGTGATCGAAGTAAAGATATTTTGGCTTCATTTTTTGTTTACTAAATTCCATATTTGTCACTCATAGTTTTGATGCTTACAGTGAGAATCTACAGTGTAAATAATCATGGAAATAAAGAATCATACATGAAAAAGTGTGTCCAAACTTTTGAGTGGTAGTGTAATTGTAAAACTTGAAATCAGCTTTTATTTCATGACATTCAACATCAACAAATAACAAAACCAGTGTTGAAGATCCTTCAAAAAGGAAATTTTACCTGTTATTTGAGTTGTGGGGGTAATTCTGTTACCGTTTGACAAAAGTATAAATTACCAGATAAAGTAACTATTAAATTGCCAACAAAAAATGCTCAAAAATACAGTAAAAACGAGCTCTAATCATCATTAGTTATGCCGAATATTACTAAATGCACTCAGAACCAGTACTATAAGCTGTTCTCCACCACTGAGATCAAGCACCACAGCCTCACACCTGTACAGTCACAACAGAGCAAACAGTTGTCCTCTTTTACACAACAGACTTTGTCCAAACAGCATTTACCAAACGCACTGATATCAGAACATTACAAACATGTGCAGGCCACATGACTCCAGGCAGACTCGTGTAAAACCAGAGATGAACTATCCACTATCCACTATCACCATGCTGAGGTTATTTTAGAGATCTGTAAACTCCAAACGCACGTGTCCCTCTTGCTGCTGTCGTCTGTTTTTGCTCCCATTACGAAACAGTCGCCAAATAATGATTTGTATCCATAAAATCCACAAGAATCCATAAACCAGTGAAATGTTAGGAGTTGATTTCTTTTTAGCCAGTCACTGTCTCATGCTTTTCTTTATTGTAATTGAACTGCAGAGAAAACAGATATTTTGACGTGAATATTACGTTTTATGTTATAGCCTACACATTTATTTTAAAAGCAAAGCTTTTGAGCTGATTATGATGTGTTTTTGAAAAGGGAACATAGTTATAGCACAAAGGACTGCTCCACAAAGTTGATGTTACATAATATCTCCTTTTTAAGAAGCTCTGTGGGTTTTCTGTAGAATTTAGCTGTGCTCTTCTTCTGGTTTGTCCCATATCTGAGATGAGAACAAGCGACAAACAAGTGTGCATGCAAATTATCGCGGTAATCCAAACTTCATATTATCTCAAACTTTTACGTGAGTCCAGGTCAGACTGTGGTGTCTCTCACCAACCAAAACATGCACATGGAGATTGTCCTCCAGCCAAGTCTAGCACAGTTTTCTGCAGCATAAATATTTTTGATCAAATACTGCAATATGTATTGGTAATGTGTACATTTATATTTTACACAATTTTAGACAAAAAGGACATCTTTCCCAGCTTCAGATTCATCTGTGTAAAGTGTGAACCCCAGAGTCAGACAAAGTCTGCACTAAACCAGTGATTCTCTGTGGTCCCCAAGAGACGGACTAATCTTCTGAGCTGCTCTGTCAGATGAATGACAGAGCACAGAAAAACACATGAGCAGAGCTGAATATCGTACTAAGGAAAGGCAGGACAGAGTACACAAAAACCTCTTTTAAAGATTTATAGCATACAGTGCAAAGAAAAAGGTTTACATTTTACAGATAGTTAGAGAGCAATCTCTGCATGTTGCATTAGGGTGCATCATTTGCCCAACTTTTTGAAAAAAATTTTGAAAATCAATGTGTACCTAGTATAATTTTTTTACACTTGACAAAGTAAAATTCCATGAGAAATTTCATGAAATTCTCTCGATGTCTACTGGGTCCACCAAGCCTCTGAAGTTTAGCCCTATAGTGTCAGTGGAAGTTATAAATATAAATATGGACATAATGAATCATCTGGTACCAGTTTTATGTCTCTGTCATAAAATTCAGATATGGAAAAAGTATAATTTCTTTGGGACTCAAGGACCTTGAATAAGCAATTATTATTAGAAAATAATAATAAAAATGAAAATTATATACAGTTATTAATAAAATGAATGACCACAAATAATAATACATAAATTAAAATAAATAATTAAATTATTATTATTATTAGTAGTAGTAGTAGTAGTATTAGTATTACACAAAATTAAAATAAATACAACATTATTTTTTAAATTATTTGATTTAATTATTTTTAATTGATATTGTCACATTTTAAAATTGGGTACAAGTCAATATTTGACATGTATATCCCCATAGCCTACACTACCCTTAGACGGTTAAGTTATTGGGTTCAAAAGAATATGAAGGCCCCAGTCTCCTCTCTTGGAGTCTGTGTTACTGAAGATGCACCTCCGTCCCAGAGAAGAGTCCAGGCGCCCAATCTTACAAACCCAAGGTCCCTAAATCTTACCAGGCACAGCATGTGAGTCTCTTAGCATCACCAGAAGGCAGTCTTCACTACAACAGCAAATACAAGCACAGCAGATCTTGTTCAGGAAGACAATGTGACTGATCACCTCTCTCCACAGAGTTGCTGAATCGTCCGAACATCTCCGTGTCTGTCTCTGCTGACGGGGCTCTGGAGGCCGAGGCACAGGGGGTCCGGGTGCTGCTCGGCTCAGACTTCAGCGTCATATGCTCCGTTGAACCACAGTATCCAGGAGGCATCTTCCAGCTCATCTCTAACACTCCCAACCCTGAGAACCTCACCCTGCCAGCCGTCAATCACACCGCCCACTTCCTGTTCTCTGACGCTGGTCCCGCCCACCGAGGAGGATACACCTGTGTTTACCACCTGCACGTGTTCAACCACAACTTCTCGTCTCAGAGCCTCACCCTGCAGCTCTCTCTTGGAGGTATTCAGGTTTTATCAATGATACGTTGCATATTACCTTCAGAACAATATTAATCCTGTTTTAATGCATGCATCACGAATTTCGGATTTCCGGTCTTCGTGCAGTGCATACTAGGTGGTTTGATGCTTACTTTTTCAGAAAATCCTTTCATGTTTGTTTTCCCAGTGTGATGCATCTATTGACAAAATCGATTTTTCCAAGTCTTTTGAACCATATCACTTTTGTTTCTGGTTCTGATATTGTCATATTTTAGTTTTGGGGACATCGTAATTGTGTGGTTGTTGGATATTAAACAGCGGAAAATGGGCTTCGGAAGTTTGCAAACTCCATAAATGCAAAAGGGAATCAGATGTATGTGACTGCAAACCTCCGTTCAAACTGTTTCTCTTCCCAACGGAATTGAAAAATAGTGAAATTGAAGGCGATGGGCAGGATTGATCCACAGGAAGAACAAAAAAGGAAACCTTTGACTGCCTAAATCATCCTGAGTTTGCAGAGAACATTTTGTATGTGGAGAGCCAACAAAGCAAAATCCCGATCCCTCGCTCAACCTCAGTTACGAATTTAAAAAGTCAACGCCAAAGCGAAAGGCACCAACTGTTCACCAAGAAACACCTTCCACTGCAAAGAGACCAAGACGTGATGTTGCTGTAAAGTCGAACAAGAAAGTGCAGCTCAGTCTGTTTGTCTTCTCCACCTCTCGATTAACAAACGGGATTTTGTTTTGTTGTCGCTTCACATACAAAATGTTCACTGCAAACTCGGGATGATTTCTTAGGCAGACAAAGTTTCCTTTTTGGTCCTTCCTGTGGATCAATCCTGCCCATCGCCTTCACCTTTCACTATTTTTCAATTCCATTGGGAAGAGAAACAGTTTGAACAGAGGTTTGCAGTCACACACATCTGATTCCCTTTTGCATTTATGGAGTTCACAAATTTCTGAAGCCCGTTTCTTGAGCCGTTTTCTCGGCTGTTAGGATCCAACAACCACACAATTACAATGTCCGAATCCTAAAACTAAAACAATATCAGAACCAGAAACAAAAATGATATGGTTCAAAAGACTTGAAAAGATCCATTTGGACAATAGACACATCCCAATGGGAAAACAAACATGGCAATTTGATGCTCACTTTTTCGGAAAATCCTTCCCAGTATGCATTGCGTAATGACCAGAAGTCTGAAATTTGATGCATGTATACAATGCCTTGTGTTCTAGCGTCTGACTTCCAGCTCATCATAAGAGTGCTGATCTTAGTCCTGTTGAAGCTTATTTACATACCTGCCCTCTGCTGTTACTATAAGGTACTGCACCCTCTTTTCCGTCTTCTGGGGCCAAAATAAACACAAATGCAACTGTCTTCATTTATTCACAGATTTTAAATGTTTAAAATATTACTTACCTATTTATTTTAGAGGCAATTATTGTTAGTTGCTTTGCTTTTTAATGCAAGACTTTTTGTGTGTTTTGTTTCAGGCCACCAGGGGGCATGCTCGCTGAGGACGACTCAATGCAGCTTTATTCTCTATGGAGTGCACAAAGTGTGTTTTTTTTCTTGAGTGTGCTGCATTTTATTCAACAGTACCATATTTTTCGAGCTATTAGTCCTGCTCTTAAGACTCCAACCCCATCAAAAAACGACCGCACGCCCCACAATCCAGAGCACCCTATACACGAATCCACTCGGGTGTCCCAGCACGACTTCAGTAAACTACAAAGCCGCAAACACACACGGAGCAGACAACAACCGCACAACGAAAAACACCCACAGACACACTCATCACTCCACGCCGACGAGGAACGGAATGGAGGAACGAACCGAAAAAGCGAGTGCAATGTGCCACTTCTAGACACGACTGAACAACTGAGTCACTGCGAACACGCCGACAATCCGTGGTCCCAGACACACCCTCCCTACACGCCACAACTGAACAAAGCCCAGAGTCACCGTGAACGAACAAACAAACAAAACCACTCACCCATCCACAGTGTTGGGAAGGTTACTTTTAAAATGTATTCCCCTACAGATTACAGATTACATACCCCAAAATGTAGTTTGTAACAGAATCCATTAAGTTATTTAAAGTGAGTAACGTAATCTGAATACTTTGGATTACTTGATATTGTCATGCTTTTTAAAACTACATGGATGTAGCAACCACATCCTGAAAATTCTTATTATGTTCAGTCTTTACTTAACTAAAAATTATATTGTTTATGTTATAAATATTATTGATAGAGAAATGTTTTCTATATGAGATCACAATTATGTCCACCTACTGTTAGGTGTCATGTTGCATTTGTTTAGTCCTAGTTTAGTCCTGGATTAGTCCTGGTTTAGTCCTAGTTTAGTCCTGGTTTAGTCCAGGTTTTAGTCCTGGTTTTAGTCCTGGTTTAGTCCAGGTTTAGTCCTGGATTAGTCCTGATTTAGCTCAAAATGTGAAAACAGGAAAATACCGCTGTGTAATACATTTATTTCAACAAAGTAACTGTAATTCAATTACCACTCACTGAAACAGTAACTGTAACTGAATACAGTTACTCATAATTTGTACTCTGATTACATAACTCCGGTACATGTAATCCGTTACTCCCCAACACTGACCCATCCAACTGCTGTGTTTCATTTAAAGTCAAGTGTGGTTTATTTGTAAAAAAAATAAGTTTAAAAAACAGATCATTTAATGACGTTTTATAATCCAGAGGAAAATATGGTAATATTATTTGCTGCAGTTGTATTATTATTAATATAATTTTATTGATTCTTTTTATGAGAAAAAAAATAAAAAATATATTCTAACTCTTTGCTCGTACTATCATGTTTAGTACATTTTTGTATATATTTTAAAATACATTTTAATAAATATAAAAAAATCACTGATTAAAATCTTTCTCTACTTTAAGAGGAGACACCAAACTTTCTCTCTAATTTATGTAATTAATGTCTCTCTCTTTTTTAATTTAAATTTTTAATTTTATGATGATTATTATGTTTTGATTTGTTTTTATTGTAATTTTAATGTTTTTTTTTTTTTTTTGTTTTTGTTTTTTTTCTATAAAGCGCTTTGAATGACTTTGTGTGAATTGTGTTATACTAAAATAAATAAACTTATCCTTGCTTTGCCTCACAGTCTTGTACTTAATAAGCTTATTAAAAATCATACTGAAGTATTTGTTGATACTTAATCTGTCTGATTCATTGAAGTTTTAACTCCATAAAATAAGGCAAATTTAGAATTTTTAGGCAAATTTTCAGTAAGACTCAAATAATAAATAAGATACCCAAAATACCCCTAAACTTTTTGTATCTACAGCAACAAAATAACACAAGAAATTTAAACCTGTCTTTGTTCATTTGTCTGTTTTATATAAATATGGTTAATGTTGACTTGTTTTACACACTGAATGCTTTATTTTTAGAAGAAAATATCCGTTAATACAGATAACAAATCCTGTGTGCTTTCTACCGAAGGTTAAAGAAAAAAGCAAAGCATCGGATTTATAAGTAAAAACAATAAATATAATTAACCTCTGTGTTTTCTGGAGACACTGTACACTTTCTTTGCTTTAAGGTCGTTGTTTTAGTTCAAGAGTTTTTCAAAAACAAGTTCTAAACCTGTAGAACGGCACCACCACGACGCTGCACATGCTCTGATTACAGTAAACAAGTCACAAAGTACCACACAGAACTTTATGAAGCAGCACAGCAGACAGAGACGAAGCACGAGGAGAAGAGCCAGAGCAGAAGAGCCAGAGCCAGAAGAGCCCAGAAGAGCCAGAAGAAGAGCCAGAGGAGAGCCAGAGGAGAAGAGCCAGAGGAGAGAGCCAGAAGAGCCAGAAGAGCCAGAAGAGCCAGAGCCAGAAGAGCCAGAGAGAGAAGAGCCAGAGAGAGCCAGAGAGAAGAGCCAGAGCCAGAAGAGCCAGAGAGAAGAGCCAGAAGAGCCAGAGAGAAGAGCCAGAGCAGAGCAGAAGAGCCAGAAGAGCCAGAGAGAAGAGCCAGAGCCAGAGAGAAGAGCCAGAGAGAGAGCCAGAGCAGAAGAGCAGAGCCAGAGAGAAGAGCCAGAGCCAGAAGAGCCAGAGAGAAGAGCCAGAGAGAAGAGCCAGAGAGCCAGAGGAGAAGAGCCAGAGGAGAAGAGCCAGAAGAGCCAGAAGAGCCAGAGAGAAGAGCCAGAGCAGAAGAGCCAGAGCGAGAAGAGCCAGAGGGAGAAGAGCCAGAGCAGAAGAGCCAGAGGAGAAGAGCCAGAGGAGAAGAGCCAGAGCAGAAGAGCCAGAGGAGAAGAGCCAGAGGAGAAGAGCCAGAGGAGAAGAGCCAGAGCAGAAGAGCCAGAGGAGAAGAGCCAGAGGAGCAGAGTAAGAGAAGAGCCAGAGGAGAAGAGCCACAGGAGCAGAGCCAGAGGAGAAGAGCCAGAGATAATTATAGAAAAAGAACATTTCCAGAAGAAGAGCTTGTGTAATATAAAGAAGCCGTGCGTTGTGGTCATGAAGCCGTTTGCGGAGCATCTGGCTCTCGTTACAACACTTCTCTACATCCAGTCAGGTAAGGAAACTGACTACAGTTTGACGGGAAAGTACGCATTAGCATGCTAGTTGTTGTTACATTATTACCAAGAACCAGGGGAAACAGTCGCATGACACGATCTCAGACGCTTGAATCTGATGTGATGGTGCATTTTCAAGAATCAAAAAAAAGCAATCTGATTGAGACCAGGACCAGACCGGGACTGAGACCAGGACCAGACCTGAGAACAGGACTCTTACTGGGACTGACACCAGGACTGAGACCAGGACTGAGACTGGGATCAGACCGGGACTGAGACTGAGACAGAACCAGACCAGGACTGAGACCAGGACTGAGACTGAGACCAGACCAGGACTGAGACTGAGACCAGGACCAGACCAGGACTGAGACCAGGACTGAGACTGAGACCAGGACCAGACCAGGACTGAGACCAGGACTGAGACTGAGACCAGAACCAGACCAGGACTGAGACTGAGACCAGAACCAGACCAGGACTGAGACCAGGACTGAGACCAGGACCAGACCAGGACTGAGACAGACAGACTGAGACAGGACCAGACCAGGACTGAGACTGAGACCAGGACAGGACTGAGACCAGGACCAGACCAGGACTGAGACCAGGACTGAGACCAGGACTGAGACCAGGACTGAGACCAGGACTGAGACTGAGACCAGGACCAGACCAGGACTGAGACCAGGACTGAGACTGGGACCAGACCAAGACTGAGAACAGTTTAGACTTGGTTCAGTCCTGGCTCAGACCATATACGGTGCAAAAGTCCAGCATCACATTTTAAATCACTGTTTATTTTTGGTTTCATATTGAAAAACGAATGAACGAATGAGACACGGGTTCAAATGTTCTTAATTTAAGTCATTTTATTTTAGCTAGATATTTATTTTTTTCCAGTGTTGGACTCAAAAGTATCAAAAATTACTTACTGATCAATACTAAGAACTAGAATCAAAACTGGTTATTTGAGCAGATATCGATACCCAGAAAAGTCACAAAAATGCACCTTTCCAGAATAGTGTTAGAATCATCTGGAGCTGTATCACAACAAGTATAAGAGCACACTGACAGAAATACTCCCATTGAATTATTCCTTAATATAGAAATAAAGGTTACATGTACCGGAGTTATGTAATCAGAGTACAAATTATGAGTAACTGTATTCAGTTACAGTTACTGTTTCCATGAGTGGTAATTGGATTACAGTTACTTTGTTGAAATAAATGGATTACACTGCGGTATTTGCCTGTTTTCACATTTTCACATTTTGGGCTATATCCCCCCTTTTTTTTCTTCTTTTTTGGTAATTCCACTCATTGCCGGAAACTAAACCAGGTCTAAACTAGATCTAAACCAGGACTAAAATAGGTCTAAAACCAGGACTAAAACAGGACTAAAACAGTACAAAAACAGGACTAAACCAGGACTAAACCAGGACTAAACCAGGACTAAACCATGCTGCGTGTCTCTTCCTCTTCCATCAATAATATTTTTAATATGGTTCAGTAAAGTCTGGGCTTTTTATTTTCTTTTATCAGACAAAACATCTTCCTTGTCTTTGCTTCTCTCCAGCAAATCAAGTAATCCAAAGTATTCAGATTACCTTACTCACTTTAAGTAATTTAATGGATTACGTTACAAACTACACTTTGGCGTATGTAATCCGTAATATGTAGGGGAATACATTTTAAAAGTAACTTTCCCAACACTGTCCATTGTCGACCAAGACTGGACAAATGCTGATAAATGGAAACAGCTGCATGACACTCTCCATGCACAGGAGTAACTGGGCTGGGCTACAAGTTAAATTAAAACATGTCTGGTCTTTTTCAGCTGCTGGACTTCAGTGCATGACTTGCAATGGTCAGACCTGTTCTTTCCAAACCCCCGAGAACTGCTCCTCCAGCGACGCTCTGTGTTTCTCACACGTGACGGCAGGTAACAGTCTGTGTCTAATATAGAGTGCATCATTTGGCCCAAGGTCAAAAATTCAACTTGTGCCCAATTTTAAAAATGTGACAATAACAATTAGAAAAAAATCTATGGAATATTTGCTGAATTGAATAAAATCTACTGGGTGTAGGTTTGCAATTGATGGTGAGATGTTGGGGTCAGTCAGTGCATTGGACTTCGGAGGCCCAAGTAAAAAAAGAACTATTGTGGCACCAAATCTGCTATACAGGACAGTGCAAATGAAGGGCGTGAATTTAAAGTGCCCCAGACCCAACCATACACAAATACAGCACATATATGTTTTATGTAATGTACAAGCACAGTAAGGAACACCGGTGCTGACACAGGCTCCTGCACAGATCATGTTTATCTTTACGATCGAAGCCACAGCCTACATCAGCAGGTTACATGGACAGTATACAGGGCTGGACAGCTTGAGACCATATAGGCCAGTTTCAATGTTGACAAAAGCGCGAGTTGCATGCTGGGACTTATTTTGGTCGGCGGCAAGAAACACTAATTCAGCATGACGGACGGAGCGAGAAAGCACGTAAAGGGGATTGATCCCGGTTATTTATCCACTCTAACGGCAGAGGACCCAAGACCATTTGACCAGAAATTGGTCATAAGCATCGATGGAGCCAAATCACCCTTTTCAACCCCGACAAAAGGTGGAACAAACCAAATTTCTGGTCAGAATCACCAACTACCTGGACAAATATTCACTTGGGCGATATCCACAATGACTTGGTGGAAACTCCTGGGCCATTCACAGCAGAAAAGATGAAAACCTCCAAGAGTCTCGATGTGTTGTTGAACTTGTTGGAGTCCACGGTTTGTTAGGATCTTCTACGTTTGCTCTGTGAATGTTTGAAAGCCATTTAATTCACAGTTAGTGGTTCTTTTCACTCAGAATAAGACATTTTCCTTCTTCCGTGCTTCTATTTGTGCATCCAATAATGCAGCAGGAATTTACCATTAACGGGGAGAAATCCGCGAGGTTACGCACTGTGTTTGACCGCTATCATATTTCTTGCCTCCGACCAAAATATTTCCCAGCATGCTTCACTTTTAATAACAAAGACGTCAGCTGAAACTATTAATTGTTTTTTCTTCTCATCTACCCTCTCCAAGTTCTATTTAGAGTGATTTGTGCATGTTTCTGCTTTTTGCCTGACAATCTTGACGGCAAATAAGTTCTATAGAGACTCCAA